ATATACCACTCATTGTTCTAAAATATTCTGCAATGTATAAACAATAATAACGAAATGAAAGACGCATTTCCTTAAAACAAAAATTAGAATTACAAAATATTATAAGAATGTTGCAAGTTATAGAAAGAGAAAACTGTATTTAATTTAAGTAGCACGTGATATATATTTCAATGGTCCCCATTAACATGTTTGCTGTCTCCCTCTATAGGTTGTTTAGTGTAACATTCAGAAAATAGGCTAAAGTAGTGGTATATTGACCTTATACATAGAAAACGTAACAACGCATCGATTGAACAGATAGTGTAGACAGCGTTTCTCTTGTTGTTTTCAATGTCATTACGGTTTAAAAGTTTTATTCGTGTATAGAGTAGTTTGTTTGTTTGTTTGTTTTTCTCACAGATTATGGGAATGTTTGTCATCTTGATCGTTACGAGGTTATTTCGAACATTCACTTTTAAAGATTGTACTGTATTTCGCTTTGATGAAAATAAACAAATAATTATGTCTTGTAAACTGATGACGACAATATCGTTTGATATCGGATGAAACTCAGAAGAATGTCTTAGAAAGTTTTTATAATGATAATTTATAGAACGTTTTCAAAAGCTTATTTAATTTTGAACACTGGACTTTGTCCACTGTACAATATACACACACACACACACACATATATATATATATATATATTATAAGCAGATATACAGACAGAGCACTTTATATTATACACAGATAGACAGACAGAACATTTTTGTTATAAGTAGACATACAAACAGAACACTTCACATTATACACAGACAGACAAACAGAACACTTTATATTATAAGCAGATATACAGACAGAGCCACTTTATATTATACACAGATAGACAGACAGAACATTTATGTTATAAGTAGACATACAAACAGAACACTTCACATTATACACAGACAGACAAACAGAACACTTTATATTACAAGCAGATATACAGACAGAGCACTTTATATTATACACTGATAGACAGACAGAACATTTATGTTATAAGTAGACATACAAACAGAACACTTCACATTATACACAGACAGACAGACAGATCACTTTATATTACAAGCAGATATACAGACAGAGCACTTTATATTATACACTGATAGACAGACAGAACATTTATGTTATAAGTAGACATACAAACAGAACACTTCACATTATACACAGATAGACAGACAGATCACTTTATATTACAAGCAGAGAAACAAAGCATTTTATATTATAGATAGACAGAAAAATTATTTTATATTGTTGATAGATGGAGATACAGAGTTTCGTTGTTTGTAAAATCTATGAGGCACTATGGAATCACAAGTGCTTCTAACTCGTCAAACATTATTTACGTGTGGCACTATGGAATCACAAGTGCTTCTAACTCGTCAAACATTATTTACGTGTTATTGGTGAACTGACCATTTTATTTGAGGTGTCGCTTCAATTGAAATTCCTTGGTTCTGTCTAGCTAGAACCAGATTGTATATGTATCTTTGTATACGTGTTTGGGTGTATAGTTCCACATCAACTGAACAAAACATAGACGCGCAATGCACGTATGTGAACTTTGATTGAAAGTTACACACTCAGAGTGCAAGAGCCATTAGACTATATAAAAATGAACGTTAACCCTAATACGCACTATCGTTTATATTATGATGCATAGTGCTTTCAATGAAGGAAAGGTTAATATTGACGAACATAATATGTAGGAGCTTATAATATTATAGATAAGTTTATGTTGTTGTTCTTTTTCATAATTTTTCTTCTTGAACTAGTAATTCTTCTTTGATTTGGAAATGAAACAAAATTTCATTTTTACCTGTACCGGCAGAAAAGCAATACTTGCTTTTGATAGGTATATATATATATTTTGCACTTTTCATCATGCTAGTGCACGTGACACACACGTGTGATGTCATCAGGTGCTCCCGTAATGATTACAATGGCGGGAGTTTAAAGTATTATTATTATTATTATTATTCATGAAATGACGATTGCAGAGTCTCGCGTGTTACCAGGCGGTCGACGGAGAACGCAGTCACGTGACTTAACTAGCAGGATAGGGTTATCAGTTTCTTCCATAAATTCAAATGGCAGATAAAAAAAGCGTGTTGCGTTTCCTATATAGGGCTCGCCTGCCTACATTGAGTGAGTTCCACGCTACAAACGGCGCAGAAGAAAGCGCCGCCATGATGGAAAAGTCGGAAACGGTTTGTAAGTAGCATCTCCAAAAAACTCCTTTCCCTACTGGCTGCTTCGGGGGGTTTCTGGTTCTCTCGCGCTGTTCTACCGGACAGTGTAGACGTCACTGAATGTCAAGGTGTGGTTGAGGGACGCTTGTGACTACTTTCTGTCTCTAATAAACGCGTGGATATTGTCTTGTTCTTCACGGCGGCGTCTCAACCCTTTGAATACGAGCGACCTGAGTGTACCGGTACAGCGGGGCTCCATGGTCTTAGACTGGCAGGGCGCTTGTTGTTTAAGTTAGGAGATTAAGCTAAGAAGGGAGTGTCTTTTACACGGTCGTGTGTGACTGTTATTTTGCATTCATGTTTCTGTTGCATATCGCAAATATTAGGGTTGATTCATGTGTAGATTTCCAGAAGTATCTGATTATATTTAAATGGGTACACCTGTGAGAATAAAGGTCTTGAAAGTAATTTCGCTTTACATAAGTGTTAGCATGCGTTCTTAGATATCTAGTGTAGACTAGGGTACTGAAAAAGTATGCTTTAAGATAACTTTAGAAATTGGTAAATGATTTTACAATCGGAATTTAATTTAAAGGCCAACTTGTATTAGTGTGGTTCTTCATAGCTGGTATTAACAAAAAATGTTTGGTTTTATGTCATTTCTTTATTTTTTACATAGGTTGAAATATCGTGTATTTTAGAATACAGAACAGAATTATGATTTGATAATAATTCGTAGGTATGTGTTGTATGGGTTAAATCAGTTATATTCTACATATAGAATTATGTATGTATGTGTTGTATAGGTTAAATCAATTATATTCTACATACAGAATTATGTATGTATGTGTTGTATGGGTTAAATCAGTTATATTCTACATACAGAATTGTGTATGTATGTGTTGTATGGGTTAAATCAATTATATTCTACATACAGAATTATGTATGTATGTGTTGTATGGGTTAAATCAGTTATATTCTACATACAGAATTATGTATGTATGTATTGTATGGGTTAAATCAATTATATTCTACATACAGAATTGTGTATGTATGTATGTGTGTTTGGGTCATTTATTTCCATATTTCAAAACGTAACTTTTCAAGATAATATATCTATCTATATATGTGTGTATGTGGGTATTTATATTTAAACGTTTTTTAACCCATGTTTTTCCGTTTGTAATGAAACACAGCCCATTTTCGAAACCACTCGAGTTTTGGGGTAATTTTTTTAGACTTTAATCATTTTGTGGTGATCCGAATTTGTTATTAAGTAGGCGTGGTTACAGGAAAAATACTGTGTAACTTGTTGAACGTATTCAATTCGACTTAGAAGTTAAAGCTAACACATTTTATATAAATCAATAGGAATTGAATGTTCACAGTTGTAGGTTTTTTTTTTCTTTTCACATAACCATAAAATTAACGATGGTGTCGACCCCATCAGCTTTTTAAACATCATTTTATAAATTATTTATGTATCAAGCTATTTGAATTTATTGGTTACAAGTTTCCTGATAACATAAAAAGTTCATACGAGAATATCAATTAACCTACTAATTACCTCTGGTGTTTCCTACCTATTTTATACAAAAATGACAAAGTCTTGTTGTTTCTTTACAATGTCATAATAGGAAAAAACATGAAATTACTCAGTGTGATGTAATATATGAATCCCACCGATAATAAACAGTATCAAAACAAGTTAGTAATTTGAGGGGTACATTTGAAAATTAAATCACTTTGTTTGTTGGAGAGCAAAGCCACATTGGGCTATCTGCTGTGTCCACCGGGGAGAATCGAACCCCGGATTTTAGTGTTGTAAGTCCGTAGACTTGCCGCTGTCCCACCGGGGGGGACATTTAAATCGCTAGTGGTTTTAATACATTTTCGTGAATATCAACAAGTAGAGTACAATATCTAATTTTGGTGGAGAGGAAAAAAAAACCAAAACAAATTAAAAATAACTGACATTAAAGTGAGTAATATAGTTAGTTCCTTGCACAGAAAAATACACTTCAGAAAAAATGGTGAGCTTACGTTACTTTTATTTGTACATTACACGATGCTTCCCTCAGAATAATTTATTTTCAGTCGACAGAATATGTTTGGTTAACATGTTTTGTGTGTGTGTGTTTTTTTTATGATGAAAATAACCAGTGCCAATAGAGATAATCAGTGTTAATGTGAAAAAAGGACGTTAAAAGAAAAACCAAAGTTTAATGATACACAACAAGTGTTTTAAAACGAGACTGTCGCCAGTCTCAAAAACTTTTACCTAATAATTTCCTGTGGAAATATTTGAAGAAAAAAATTTGTGAGAATGGGAACAGTCTCATACACTCAACATAATTAGATGTCTTGCTACATCATTATCATCTCACGATTTGTATCTTTATACAGAAAATTCTTTAGTAATTTTTTCAATTCTATTTTGAGACTGGGGACAGTGTTGTTTTCAAATATTTGTTTGGTATTTATAGCTAATCAGTATTTGTTATGAGAGCGTTTGTGAAAAAGCCATTCAAATTCCAATAGTAATAAATTTTAAAATATTTTTAAACAGTTTGGTATTGTAATTTAAATGTGTGTACGTGCGTGTGTATGTTTGGCCTACTTATCGTTGCAAACGTACGGGTATCAGACAGATTTCCTAGTGTACTCGTAAGTTATAAAATTTACCTGACAAAGAAAATCTCGTTTTGAACGCTATTTATTTTTGTTGTTTTCATTGGATAGAGTGGGAAAACAAGATTACTTTAGACAGTTTTCTAAATTGCATTGTATCATAAAACATTTTCTTCCGATCGCCATTGTCTTTGAACTATAATATTTCTTAGAAAAAACATACAAATTGAATAATGAAAATATTGTTTTATTGTGATTCTGGAATAAGAGGAAACAAAGAATAAGTTTCTTTCTTTCTTGCACAGTCAACAATTGCTTTTGCTAGTGTAGTTATTTGTTTTCATCACATTTCTGCAAATATCAAATTTCATTATTTATGCTTTTTTTTACTTTTGTTTAATAATTAAAATTTCCAATGAACTTCAAATAATATGAATGCGCTATTTCCGAAAGTATTGGAAGTAAAAGTTAATTTCTAACTTTATTGCGTGTGGCAACTTCCTTAATATTGAAATTATAAAAGATTAGGCTTAGGTGTTAAAATTTTGAATTTTAGGCATAAGTAATTTTTTTCTTACATAGCAATTTGAGAACAGATTAGAAATTTATTTTTACTCTTTTTAAAGTATTGTTATAAGGCTAAAATATTTAACTTGAATTTATTTAGAATGAAACTCTGTTTTACCCTAAACTGTAGGATTTATTAGTACTATTGAATTATATTTATTTATTAGGGTAGTTAGGCTTATTGTTTTTTATCCCCTATGGCGGAAGGGGTATTAGGCCTAACTGACTACTGATTTAATAATGTAATTAGGGTAAGTCCATTTAGGCTTAGTTGTTAGCAAGAGTTAGGAATACCTCTAATATGTATTACTTTGTAGGAAATACTGTTGGATTTTAAGTTTTTCACAAATATGACCCTGTCGGTCGAATTAATTTTAAAGGAAGTATTTTATTATTTATATGAGCCATTAAAACACTGCATCAGAATAATGAATGTAAAATAAATGCAACGTGTAAAATCGTCTGGTGACAACGAAGAAGTTAGTCTGATGTGAAAAACTAACAAAAAATCTCCCGCATACGTTATAAATATTTCAACTTCATAAAAAATTAAGTCGTTAGCTATAATGAATGCGCCCCAGAATTTTTTTTTTAATTAGAGGATAGCATTTATTTAGCTAGACAGCTGTTATTAGTCATCAGAGACACACACGTGTTCGAATTCCACTCGCTTGTTCTTCTCTTCATGATTCCGTATTTTATTCTTATAGCTTTCTTATCGTTAATGTTTTGAAAAGGCAAAAGTTTGTTCGTTTGTAGTTAAGCAAAAGCACACAATGTGCCATCTACTCTGTGCCCACGACGAGTATCTAAACCCGCGTTATAAGTCCGCATACATACCACTGTGCCACTAGGGGGCTAACATACCGAGTAGATGAAATATTTAACCAGTTATATTTCATTAACTTCAATGAAAATATCTAAATGTTATCTAGATGGTTAAAAAAAAAGAAACATGAACAAAATAGAATATTAGTTTTCCATACGGTTAATGCTCCCTAGTGGCTCAGAGGTAAGCCTGAGGACTTATAATGCTAAAAATCAAGTTTAGATACCCGCGGCGGAAAGAGCACAGATAGCTCATTGTGTAGTTTTGCGCTTACCAACAAACAGGCAAAACAAACCATTAGATTCAATTACATGTTCAAATTGTAAATGTATTGAATTACCTATTTCATCAATCAACTTACGCGTGCGATAAATATTTATCGTTAAGAAGGATTAAATGGAATGTTTGGTGAGAAAGGATTGTGCAGTTAACCAGTGTCACCTCTACTCGTTAAGAAGGATTAAATGGAATGTTTGGTGAGAAAGGATTGTGCAGTTAACCAGTGTCACCTCTACGTATTCTTCCGTATATGTGTGTTTGTGCTTAGTTCAAAATACATTCGTGCAGAGTCTTAAATGTTGTTGATTGACTATGATTGGCCATTAATTAGTCAAACGTTGATCAGGGTAACAGTTTGAGATTCTGAATCACAGGGTGGTTGTAGATTGAATTTACGTTTGTCTGTTTATTGAGAGAAAATGTAACCCCCCCCAAAAAAAAATGATTATGATTGTGTAATAACGTACCAAATAGACAAATATTTTATCGAGGGTTTCACAGTTAGGGACTTCATAGTTTATAAAAAATATGGCTGTAAGGTTTTGTTTAAACTTGGAGGTCGAAACTAACACCTCTAAATTTTCATAAGAACTTGCACGCATGCTCCGTAGCAAACCTTACATGTACGCAGACAATTTCATTACAACTACTTCCCATAAAGGTGGTCAACCATTAAAGGTGGTCAACCAACATTTTGATCAAGGAAAACTTCTCTTAGAAAATAGCCGAGTGTACCCTAATAGTTAGCGTACCGGAATGTGAATCTGCAGATCCAATGTTCGCTGCAACAACAACAACAAAAAAAGACCCACTATTCAGTCAGACAAAAGTTGGTGGTAGATGTTGTTGACTAGCTACCTTCACCCTGGTCTACCAGTTCGAAATTAGGGACAACTAGCGCGAATACCCCCAAAACCGTCAAACAAACAAACAGTTCTCCCAGAAAGTTTTGGAAGCCAATCTGCCAAGTTAAGGATGAAGGGCTCATGTTTTTTAAGCACAAATGGATTTGTGTGACATTAGTTCAAAGATTAATAGCACAGCGAGAAGCCCAAACAAGAAATTACAGTCTGAGAACCATCCACCATGACTCCGGAAAAAAGGGTTGAAAAATTTCGATATATAGCCGCATGTGAGATGAATTTTGTTTGTAATTAAGCACAAAGCTACACAATGGGCTATCTGTGCTCTGCCCACCACGGGTATCAAAACCCGGATTCTAGCGTTGTAAGTCTGCAGACATACCGCTGTGCCACTGGGAGGTTACATGAAAAACAACTCTTCAAGAACACAATATTATTGAAGTTATTATGTTTTATTTATTTGTTTGAATTTCGCGCAAAGCTACACGAGGACCATCTGCGCTAGCCGTCCCTAATTTAGCAGTGTAAGACTAGAGGGAAGGCAGCTAGTCATCACCACCCACCGCCAACTTGATAGCGCAGAGGGAAGGCAGCTAGTCATCACCACACACTGCCAACTCTTGGGCTACTTTTTTACCAACGAATTGTGGGATTGACCGTCACATTAAAACGCCCTCACGGCAGAAAGAGCGGGCATGCTCAACGACGGCGAATCGAATACGCGGTTCTCAAATTGCGAGTCGGGCGCTTTAACCACCTGGCAATGCCAGGCCTAATTTATTCGTTTTACTTAACAAACCTAATGCAAGAACTTAAGCAAAGAAATTATAATATTGCACGTAAAAAAAAAAACCCACAAGTACGACCTGTATGTGTTGTAAATGCTGTGATGTGTTAACGGTGTGATGTAAAATTTTAAGAAATTGTTTTCACCGCTCTCTACCGCCCCTCCACAAAATTGTAAATGACTGAAAGTATATGTCCACTCTTGTATTTCGTTTTAACTCCGCTGTGCACCTGTGTCGTTGTCTTGTGAATGATTTTGTTGATGACTGAATGATATATATATATAATCATAAGCGCCACTGCAGAAGATTAACAGTCACACTTGGAAAGAATATTCGTTGCAGCGAACATTCCCCCCAATTCGCAGCTTGTTGGAATACGTTATGTTCGTTTATAAGTGTCCTTTACGCTATCCATGCTGTTTGAATGTGAAATATGCTTTTTTTACTTATGTGACGTAGTAAGCCAGGCAAGGCCTAGTAAATCTGAATGTTCATGATTCGCGCCTTATTACCGCGAAATCGTGTCGTACGCTTTTGTTGTCAAATTCTACTATTCCGGCAGACAAGAGTAGACCAAAAGTTGTTGTCAGTAAGTGCTAGTGACTAGGTAGTTGTATTCACTTAAGTGTCAGTTCAAAGGTAGGGGCGGTTCATCTCTAGCTATAAAACAAAAACAATCTGACGTAGACGGCACATTCGGTTTTATCGTTACAGAACAGGTGGTTTTTGTAGCTAGGAAGCCAGTAAATATCCTGTAAACCTTACAGTTCTTGGTTGTACGGTCCAGTCCTACAGCGTTCGGGTGGGGTTTAATTAGGCCTACCAGCATTGTTCTCCTTCTGTAACTCGTCGATATATATATATATGTATTTTTAAAATTGATCCGTAAACATCAGAATACGTTTCATGTATTTCGTAGCGCCAGTAGGAACAGGAGGAAACGGAAAATTCGCCGCCTGTTGATTTTTCCCCCTTTGTATACGCGGCTATGATATACTTTCTGACCTTGCCTGTCGGCGGGAATACGCTCAAGCCAAGAGGTGATGGATATACGACAACAACAACAACAAGCGGGGTTAGCCTGTGCAACCCCTGTAATCTCGTTGTTGAAGCTAAGAAACTTTCTCTTCGAACCCAGGTTCAAGTCCCAACGTGCTGATGGTAAGTATAAGTTCATGGCGAGGGGATGAAGTAGGTGTTCAAATATGCAGAGGTTGTCAGTGACTCTGTTTACGTTTGTCTGTCTATGTAACTTTATGTACTCTATGTCTGTATCTATCTTAATGTACATGAATCTCTCTCTATTTTTGCCTTTTATTTCAGTTTTTATAGTTAGATTGTTTTTCTTGCTTCATCTATTTATTAATTTACTAGGTATCTACTTTTCTGTGGTTATTTAGCTTTCATTAAAATAATGAATACAGTAAAAACTTTTATCAGACAAGCCCCTATCTAACTTTTTTTCATCTATGTATCCTTCTGTCTACCTGTCTGTAATTGACTTACTTTCATTAAAATAACGAATTCAATAAAAAGTGCTTTTAATATTTGAATTTTTATAAGACGACCCCCTCTATAAATAGCGTTGACGTGCGTTATTATAATCTAACGTATCACATTACATCACAGCAAAATTAAGCTAGAGAGAAAAATATAAATATCAAGCTTGGATATAGTTACTGCTTCGTGAATAGATATTACCCTAAAATGTCGATCCATTTAAAGTTAAAATTAATTCAAAGAGTGTGTGTGTGTGTGTGTGTATATAAGATAAATCAGAAAGTAAGGCTTAGCTACTTCTTTTTTAAAATATGGCGAATCATGCGACACTAAACATTATCTTTCATAAAGTAGTCCAAACGTGGACTGTGATCATAACCTTTGACACAGGATAGTTAAGACCAGTAATTTCTCACTGCAACTTTTTGGGACTTTGTATTTCATGTTGTCCATCGCGTTAGACTCCATTAATTCTGTATTTATTTGTGTAACTCGACTACTTGACGTTTTGACGTTCAACACTAACCGGAGATAGTTCATTTGGAATCTTTAATTCACCCATTCAGACTTCTTTATTTTTCCAAATCATGCTGTAGACCAACATTTTAGAATTTAGTCCAGTTCAAACTGTTCTGTTTATGTGTTCCGTTTTGAATCCAACATTTTAGATTTTAGTCCTGTTCAGACTGTTCTGTTTATGTATATCATTTTAGAATCCAACATTTTAGACTTTAGTCCAGCTCAAAATGTTCTATTTATGTGTATCATTTTAGAATCCAACATTTTAGACTTTAGTCCAGCTCAAAATGTCCTATTTATGTGTATCATTTTAGAATCTAACATTTTAGAACTTAGTCCAGTTCAAACTGTTCTGTTTATGTGTATCATTTTAGAATCTAACATTTTAGACTTTAGTCCAGTTCAGACTGTTCTGTTTATGTGTATCATTTTAGAATCCAATATTTCAGACCTTAGTCCAGTTCAAACTGTTCTGTTTATGTGTATCATTTTAGAATCTAACATTTTAGACTTTAATCCTGTTCAAACTGTTCTATTTATGTGTATCATTTTAGAATCTAACATTTTAGAACTTAGTCCAGTTCAAACTGTTCTGTTTATGTGTACCGTTTTGAATCCAAAATTTTAGACTTTAGTCCTGTTCAGACTGTTCTGTTTATGTGTATCATTTTAGAATCTAACATTTTAGACTTTAATCCTGTTCAAACTGTTCTATTTATGTGTATCATTTTGGAATCTAACATTTTAGAACTTAGTCCAGTTCAAACTGTTCTGTTTATGTGTACCGTTTTGAATCCAAAATTTTAGACTTTAGTCCTGTTCAGACTGTTCTGCTTATGTGTATCATTTTAGACTTTAATCCTGTTCAGACTGTTCTGTTTGTGTGTATAATTCAAGAATCCAACATCTTTAGTACTGTTCACTGTTGTGCTTTTCTATATCATCATAGAATCAGAATTTAGTCCTGTTCAGACTACTGTGCTTTTTCTATATCATTCTACAATCCAACATTTTACATTTAGTCCTGTTCAGACTGTTGTATTTATATGTATCATTCTACAATCCAACATTTTACATTTAGTCCTGTTCAGACTGTTGTATTTATATGTATCATTCTACAATCCAACCATTTTACATTTAGTCCTGTTCAGACTGTTGTATTTATATGTATCATTCTACAATCCAAATCTGAGACTTTAGTCCTCTTGGAACTGTTGTGTTTCTTTTCTGTATCGTTTTTGAATCTAACATTTCAGACTTTATTTCTTCCTGTTCAGATTGTTGCGTTTTTTGTATCATTCCAGAATTCAATGTCTTTGACTTAAGTCCTATTTGGACTGTTGTGTTTACATGCATCATTATTAAATCCACCATTTCACATTTTACTCCTGTTCACTGTCGTATTTCACTTCATTATTCCAGAATCTAATATCTTATACTATAGGCTTCTTCAAAATGTTGTGTTTTTCAGGATCCTTCTAGAATTCCAAATTTGGAGCTTTAGCCCTGTTCAGGCTGTTGTATTTTTCTGTATCATTCTAAAATATGATATTTTAGGCCCAACTAATTCTGTATTTATTCCTGTACATCAGCTGTTTTTGTCTTTGCTATATATTTTATTTTGTGTTTTACTGTTTATTACATACAATCCAAAATATAACAATTTTCCTGTTATTTTGAAGTTGAGCTGTTTGGATTGTAATGATTCAGTGTTTCCTCTTATTCAATTTCAGATTTTGTTTGCTTGTGATAGAGTTGAAACTGCAGTAATTTGCCATTCTGCCACTCACACTTGCCTGTATATCGTGTATATAACCAAAGTCTGACAGCGGTACATATCAAACTTAGTGATCATCTGTTTCAATATAAATAAATATTACTTGTCTTGCTTTTAGTACAGTCCAAATGGTAATAATGCTTTATTTCATTATCTAGCTCAGTTATCGTGTCTGTGAAATATCCCTTCTTATTTGCCCCCTTACCAGTGGCACAGCGGTTTGTCTTTATTCCAACTACCTAGATTGTAGCAGTATGCTTTGTTTCGTTATTTAATCCAACTACCTAGATTGTAGCAGTATGCTTTGTTTCGATCTTTAATTCAACTACCTAGATTGTAGCAGTATGCTTTGTTTCGTTCTTTAATTCAACTACCTAGATTGTAGCAGTATGCTTTGTTTCGTTCTTTAATTCAACTACCTAGATTGTA